GTCACACCTGAACGCTCACATCCTTTTAATTATGTTTGAAATTATGAACATTGCTCAACATCATGAAAATTAAACCTTATTTTCAATAAGCAATCCTGAAAAATATTTGGGGGTGCTTAACTTTTTTCCAGGTGTATATATATGTACATTATATATACAAAATCAACTTTCCCAGCACTTCTAGAGATCAACAAGCATCTCTAGACTAAAGTTCTTAAGGCTTTATAGACACAAAAACCAACGAGTTTTAGGTGCCACAGCAGAATAACAGCTTGAATGACAAATACTCAATTATTTTCTGGAAGAAACACATTAACTATGAAAATCAAACAATACTTACTGAATACTTGAAAAAATAGTGTAAAAACTGTAAATCTCAGTCCAAGTGTACCTTAATAGCAGGTAATAAGGTTACAAGTCACATGTCACAACCTTATTCATGTTGCTATTTTCATGATCAAGTAAACTACAGTTTACTTGATCGTGATATGCATAAACTACAGATAGAGAGGGAGATGACAATAAGTTATATATGAAGCTATTAGGCTAAATGATACTTTCTTGTATCATGTAGTTGCTAGTCACTTGATTCTTTATTCACATCCTTTAAAAACAAATGTATCAACACTGATATGCCAAAATTAACAGTTATGCACACAGCTCAGCCAAAGTGCACATCAAAACTTTTTACAGAGTTACATTCAGAACTTAATTAAACAACTTTATTATCAAAGTATGTCAATAAACTTGGCCATCAAAACATAGTTTATAATTCAAGTTTTTACATTATTTATGTTTTGATTTCTTAATTTGAAAATGAAATATTTAAATAAATTCTCAAACTTCACCACTCTTTGTGATATGATGCATTTGTGCTCAGAATTCTACCTTACTGATTTTCTTTCTTCTCTTGTACGAGTTTCACATTATCCAACTAATTAAAAACAAAAACTATAGATAATGACAGACCAGAACATAAGATTTGAATCTCCTATGTGTTAGTTTGCTGAGATATCAATAAATTTGTCTTATGCACCAGTGAAGCTCTTCTTGTCATAGCTCTCAAAGATGTTATCTAAATCACATGTTGTCCTCTTTTGAAGGACATATTTATAACCATTAGAAAGGGTATTTATTCCTCTGTCAGAATCTTGTGGTTATTTCTTTTTGGTGTAGACAGTGAACAATTGGCTTTAGATTTCTTTGTCTGTGATTATTGTTGTTCAATTCAAAGCAGCTAACATAATTTCCTAAACCTATTTATAACTTAGTTAAAAATCCAGTAAAATTATAATTAATATTCCAGTGCCAGGTATATTTTGTGTGTTCTGAAATGCATGTTTGAAAAGTACACAAATTTATATTTATAAATCACACACGGAGCACTTGCTTCAATCTACAGCTGTTTTTTATTGCTTTTGAGAACTGTGGCAAAAAATACAGGCAAAAAAGCTATAAAATTAAAAGAAAACAGATATTAAAAGTTTAAGAGTTGAAACTGTGAAGATAAGAAGACCAACAATCTAACAAAAATGATGCATTCTCAGAACAATTTAAAAAACAAAAGGTGTTGTTTATTTTATTTAATATTTTAAAGCAATTCATTCAATGTATATTGAATGATTTCATAACAATTACTGTTAGGATAAGGAAAATAAAAGATAAAGTTTCAATGAAACAAATATGCACGAAGGAGGTTCTAAAGGTTATGCAAATGAAATACCAAAATTGTGAGATTTTATTCTTAATGTGAAAATCACCTTTCACTCAGATGGACTTTGTAAAGGCTTCAAAAATTCATGGACAAATCTCTGATAGAAATACCATCAAAAATTAAATTTTTTTTTACTGTACAATCAGACTTGTAAAGTCAGTCCAATGGAACAACATCATGCATACAGAGTTAAATAATTTACCAATATGTTTCTATTTAAACCCATTAGCATTGAAACCATCAAAGCACATCACCATTTAAAACATTTAACTATGCATTAAGTTTTCAACACAGATGAAGTCATAACCAAATTTCTGATGAACAATATTTAAATTCTTTGAGCCGATTACTTCAATGAATAATTGAAAACATTGTGAAAACTAACCTTAACATAATTGCTTCGATAGAAGACACAAGATTCCCTGAAAAGTCTTGCTCTGAAAACCCCCCACTTATCCAGAAGGTCAGCGACAGGGTCGGCATACTAAAAAATTAAATATATTTTTAAAAACTGAAAACGAATAATAAACAGAAACTAAGCATACAACACTAGCTTACATCTGAATGTACAGACACAGCATCACTTTAACCAAAATTGAATTGAGCTATCCTCTATTAGTAAACATACAAAAATAATTTTTATAATGTATAATTGTCAAGAATTTAATATTTAAGAATTTTTTGTATATTTTTTTTACGACCATATTTGAAAAGGAAGAATATTAGCTTTGCTAAGTTTTTATTAACAGTTTATTTATTGACATTCCCTTAAGGTAAAAAAACATTTATTGTTAAATTATAGATGAAAAACTGATTTTAAAAGAAAAATATATTTCTAATTATTAGAGAGTTAAAGTAAGACCCAATAAAGAACAAAACACACTTTAAAAAACAAATTACACAGAACTTAATTGGTAAAAGACAATATTATTAAAACAAGAATTATTTATAGCATTTTCAATTCTTATTTATGCCACATACAAAGATAGTACTTATTAATTTTTACTCAAAAGGTTTTGTTATTTGCATATATGATTTGAAAGAAAGGTATTCTTTCTTCTACATTTCAGAAATATCATACACATCTCTCATACTAGAAACAAAAACAGAATTTTAATGTTTGTTAGAAAAAACCTACTTTTGCGAGACTGGCAGTAAATAAAACACACTCGTACAGTTCACCCATTTTTTTTAAGAATTCATCTACAAATGGCCTCTTCAGCACATAAACCTATAACAGAAAAAAAAAACTTAGTGTTGATGTACTGAATCAACTCATCTGGTACAGTAAGTACATAAACTAAAACTACTGAATCAAATTGCTTTAAACTTTGTATATACTTTTGAATAATATAAAACCTATATATGAAATAAAATGTATTGTTTAGCAACGGTAATCATATTTAGTTTCTGAAGTTCCTAAAGTTTCTTGTAAAACACTGTTCTTAAAGAACAAAAATAAATACTTCCGTTAATTATAGATTTTCTTTTTGATATCTTATATTGAAAAGCCTTTTAAATGTATTCAGAAATCTGTTTGGTTTAGAACAAAACTACACTGGGCTATCTACTGTGTCCACCGTGGTGAATCGAACCCCAGGGTTTAAGAGTTGTACGTCTGTAAACTTACTGCTGTACCACCAGGGAACAAAAGTTTTTTGAATAAGATGCTTTACATATTAACAATGTCAGCACAATGACAATAAATGTTGAAAAAATGAGAGGAATATGCAAAACTTGAATATGTTATATTATGTACGAACAAATTCCATTTTACATATCCAACCAGTTTTAACTTAATCTTCTTTTTTGCTATTTTCCTTTGCCCATAGAAGCAAATACATAACTGCTAAGAGACAAACCTAAATACCTTAGTGGTCAATAACGATTTGCATCACAGACACTTTTTGAACCTTTAATCAAGCAATCAGTTAATTATATTCTGCATTACCTTCTTATAAATTCTAGGTTGTCGTGTAATACTTCAAGTTTGACCAAAATTAATTTTAGTATTCGTAACATGATACAGATACTGAACTGTGTTACCAGAACCACTTACCTGGTGTACAATGCCATCTATTTCCACAGGAACTACAAAATCAGCATTACTGATAGGCTGAAAAGTCAACAAATAAGTGTTACTTTCTTTTTTGCTTATTTCAGATAAGATGAATTAATAATATGGTTACAACTAAATTAATATTTAAGTGAAGGAGCTCTTAGACTCTTAGAATTTCTTATGTAAAATGAGCAAGAAAACATCAAGAAAAGACAATATAATGTTTTTTGTATTTTACAAACAACTTCCATGGCGTGCTTCACATCTCACAATGAGAATACATTCAGTTCCTGGCTAACTATTACAGCTGTAAAAAAAGATACATTTACCCATCTGATAGATCTTATCAATTTTGAAATAAGCTAAAGCTTATGGCAAGAGTGTATCAGATGTATCAAAAAAAGAGCCTTGATTCACTGCTAATATATCTTAATATATTTGTTTTCACCTAAATGTAATATTTCCTAAGATGTACTTAATATTTTGTACAAGAGCCTATCAACTGTTTCAAAAATTTTTATCTAGTACTTTGGAAGTAACACTATGAAAGCATTGACCTAATACAATAAAACAACAAATTATAAAATATTATCTTAAATAAATGCCTTGAAACTAATGGTATAGTTAGAGGAGCAGGTGAATATTATAAATAAAAATGTTAGTAACTGAGGTCAATAAAACACGACATAAAAATCTCCAAAAATCAAATTTGTAAATACTTAAGTTCTTTCCACAGTCATGTCTTGTTGTAAAAAAACATTGCTTACGTTCTGAGAATACACAACTATATGCAAGATATATATTTTATGTTTAACGAAGGAAATATTTAGAAAAAAAACTAATTTTTGGAAGAATCTCTACACGTAAAGTGTACCAAATATAAAATGAAAAATAAAAGGGAGCTACCCGCATATCATTTTGGATTATAAACCTAGGCACTCGTATGTTGTACTTAAAAATCTTTAATCTAGAAGCTTTTTTATATCCTTATGAAACTGTAGTATTTAGTTTTGGTCAATTTAGTGTTAATACACAAAGAAATAAGCAAGAGAGAGAAGATTTTGGGAAGCTTTACTATAACAAATATTATGTAGGATACTAAAAGTAGGAGAATATTTTATAGAATGTATTCTAGATTGCTATACAGACATACAAAAAAAGTAACTTTCTGTTTGTGATTTAGATTCCCCCAAAAAATTATACATTTCTACAATAAACTAATTAAGAAACTTAACCTCAGTGACATTTACTAATTGGAGAAATATTATTAAAATTAAAATAAATAAATACAAATCATATCAGAGCCATTTGAATTATTTTGGGCAAATACAACCAAAAAGTTCATTGTTAATTCTGGTCACTAGCTTTAGTTGTCCAGAATTCTAGTTTGGGATAGAAACTTTAAAATAATAACAGTCTTATCAATATTCATTGGTTACACAAGTACCTTGAATGAGCTGTGAACGAGAGTTTCATCCAAGTCTATGACCATGCACATCTTTTGTACATCCTGACTTTTTGCTGTAGGGAGGAGATAAGCACCAGGGATCTGGATCTGTAAGTTTTTAGTTTCAACATACTTTTGTTTAATCACTTGTTTAATTACATAAGCAAAACTCTATAAAAGAACTACAAAATTGAGTTTGGAAACCAAACACTACTGAGTTTTTGGATTTTAATTCTAGAAAATGTGTATTTGAAAAAGAAATCTTATATTATTATTACTGGGAAACATCATATTAATTTAAAAAAGGAAAATATGATAAATTACATAACTTGGTTATACATATACAGTAGAATCACCAGGGTAACAGGGATGTGGGTTTGAAACTCATTCTAGTTCACAGATACACCAAAATATAACTCAGTATATTTTCATGAAAATATGAATACAGCAATCACATTTCTAAAATACTAAGTTTACTGAAAAACAGAATGCTAGATATTTAACTGTTTATTTGGAATTTTGCTTTCCAAATAAACAGTGAACATATGCCATATTTCTGTGTTTGTGTCTCTAAGTTTCCCTGCTAACTTACCTCTTTGGGATGTACAGTTTTTCCTTTTAAGTTTTATACTCTGATCCATCTGTTCAATTTTAATAATATTTAATTTCAAAACACCTTTCACAGAAACTATGAAAATGGTTTTTAGCAAAGAAATCACCAAGTGTTATCATTTTGTTTACAGAATGGTTAGAGGGGTAAAAAACAAAAACAACCTCTAATTATAGCCAATTTAAAATGAAAAGCTTAAAAATGAATTTTAAACCAATCCAAGTTTAGATTTCAACCAATAGAGAAGGCTTCTCCATATTTATTTCAACTGTTAGTTCCATATTTCAATCAGTAATAACTTACAGTGGAAGACCCCTTCATACACACACTCAATCAGCATTCCCTTACTTTTAGTACACATATTTAACCTGGTACACCTTAATTTCAACTGTTAGTACCATATTTCAATCAGTAATAATTTACAGTGGAAGACCCCTCCATACACACACACTCAATCAGCATTCCCTTACTTTTAGTACACATATTTAACCTGATACACCTTAATTTCAACTGTTAGTACCATATTTCAATCAGTAATAATTTACAGTGGAAGACCCCTTCATACACACACTCAATCAGCATTCCCTTACTTTTAGTATACATATTTAATCTGGTACAACTTAATTTCAACTGTTAGTACCATATTTCAATCAGTAATAATTTACAGTGGAAGACCCCTCCATACACACACACTCAATCAGCATTCCCTTACTTTTAGTATACATATTTAATCTGGTACACCTTACAAATTCCCATAATACATAACTTTTTAACCTGTATTAATTATAAACAAATCACACAAAATATGTACCCAAACAAAATCTTACTGGTCATATATAAATGAGCCAGTATAATTTATAATGTAATGGTCCAATAATTAAAGCTGGGTGATTAACTCAATCAAAATAATGAATAATCAATGAGCACTGACTACAATGCTTAGTGTCATGTAAAGTAACTGATTCGACAAAATTGATCAAGTAATTGAAATATTAGATATTGTTATTTCCACTGGCACAACTGCAAGTGATAGTGAAGGTGTACACAACTGATGAATGTGAGGATATGCCCTAGTAGCCATTGGTTACACAACTGATGAATGTGAGGATATGCCCTAGTAGCCATTGGTTACACAACTAGCCACAGTGATACCTATTGTTCATGTTTACTTTGTATGTCTGGCTAACAGTGAGCTTTAATTTAAAAAGAGGGGTTCTCTACCTTTTTTTTACTCACACTCCACTATGGACATTTTTGATACTTGTGAACCCCCCCTCCCCCAAAATTTAAACTAGCCCCTGATTGGTTCTGTACTTAACACACATGGTTAGAAAACAACAACAATAGAGTGCTAATTTGTAATATATATTTTTCTAAATTATTTTTGTAATTTATTACAGTATCATTCAAATGTTCACTTGAGAACTTGACAATAAAGTGTAAAGTATTTAAATAAAACAATGTTAGTAATATAGATAATAAATTACAGACAAGACTGTTAAACTTTGTGACAAACCGTTGTTAAAACTTCTGTATCTAGATAAGTATTGTATCATCAATACCTAAATATGTATCGTATCGATTACTATACACCCCTAGTTTCTACAGTTTCTTTCAGCCTATACTATAAAATGTAAAGATATTAATCATTATAATGTGTTCCTTCTGAACTTCTGTTGGTATCAACAACTTTTCACTAAAAAGCTGAGAATGTTTTTTCATAAAGTTGTTAATTACTTTCTATGTTTTTCACACTGGTGATGGAATTAGAAAAAAAAATAAATGTCTATAATTTAGGATTTGTTCTTATTATTTTATTGTTTCTAACAATACTAAGATATCTACCTTATAAATCATTTTCATCTCTGTAATAAGATTACCTAACATTATCACAAGTTTTCTTGACAAAAAAGTAAATTTTGTCTGTTTTTTTAAGCTCAGTATAAATTTGTTTTCACAGAATTATATATTATATATCATGCACCGTGACAAAAATGTTTGCTAGTTTTCTTACATGAAATCTAAGAACAATTACTTTTGACAAATAACTAAATTTAGTTAGCTTTAGTAGTAGTGTGAAAAATCTTTGGGCAGAAACCTACCAAATGGTATTAACTGTATTTTCAGCTTGCTACAGGTTTTGTACCATGTTACATGTATAATACATTTTCATGTACAACAATTAAGGAATCATAAAGTAACCTAATCCTAAACTGTTGTACCTTCATGAAGAAGTCTATAATATTAAGTGATGGGTAGTTTAAAAAATGTCTTTAAAAAAAAACAAAAAAAACCTGAAAATTGGAAGTTTAGTCCCATGTGAAAATAACTGACTAGTTGAATGTAATTAATTAATGAGGCTGACAATTAAACAATTAGAAATTTCTAATACTCACCCAGCTTTACTAATAATACAATTAAACTGGGAATCTAATTAAATTCAAACCTCGTATACTCAAAAAGAAGTTTACAAAAAGCTAAATAATTCAAACAAAACATTTACCTTTGGAGAATACCTTGCATTTTCCTCAGCATAAATGGGAGGATTAGTCTGACCAGCATTTGCACCAAAACAACATAACAAAGTACTGAGGAAACCTTTATTTCTGGGCTTTTTTATCACAGGATAGGCTATAGAAAAATAATATTGTTATGACATTACGGTAACTTACTACTTATAAAAATTCTATGAAACTAGAACATAAGTAAAAAAAACAAGGATATACAAATATGTAACGAAAACAATAAAAAAAGCAGGTATATGATTAATCACCTATGATTATTAAAATGAAAGAATATTTAAATAAAATCCTACTCCTACATGTATTCAAGAATTAAAAAACTACAGTAACTAGTTAGTTCCTAAACATCCTTTGTTTCTAAGTTACTTATTAAGTTCCATAGTTAAATGTAAATATACATGTGACATTAAAAGTAACTTAAGAGTATATCATCAGCAAAAACAATAAAAACAAGTGTTCCACATACAATAACTAATAGTTGTACACCTTTAATTTGTTAGCATTTTACTAACAGTGAGAGAGGATGTGCTGTTAATCACCTTGTATGTTGCCAATACTGACTTTTTTTAATCTCTTATATTTGTGGTGTTTGATGTTACTCATAATTCTCCGCATCCTAGAAGTAAACAAGTTTGGGTAAAATCACTTACTATGTATATGAATTGACAAATCACTTGGGGTATGGTTATTCCATAAAAGAGTATGGCAAAGCAGAAAACAATTGAAGCCACACAGCAGATATTAACAACCAAAGTAGCTTGCAATTAATTCACTGTTCATCTGCACTCTAGCAGGCAAACTTGTACATAAAAGCTGGAAGTTTCCATAAATATCTCTTAGCAGCCAAAGATATTAAAAATATGCCTATTATGTAACAAAACTTCTTGTGTATGAACAATAAGTCATTTACCATTTGTTGACGAGAGGAAATACACTATACACTTTAAATAAAAGTTAAAAAATACAGCCTTTGAGTGGATTTTTTATCTTTACTTTTTGTTTAACGTTATTAGAATGTTTTGACCACTCATGTGCCGATCATCAGGTAACTGTCATCAGTGGTCAACACATTGTAATAAAGTTAAATAAAAATAAACAATCCACTCAATAGCTGCATCTCTGGACTTTTATTTAAAGTCATCTAACAGTCAAATCACTTAGTCTCTGTCTGATAAACCTTTAATGGTTGAATAGGCTTAATACATCATAGGTGTCCTTCGTTAAGAAAATACGTTTGTTTCAAACATGGACAACAAAGATGTTTATTTTCATAAAACATATTTCAAATATTTTAAGATTATACCCATCAGACTGCAGATCTACCTACACTGCTCATATGAAAGGTCACGTACAGTCACTGTGGTTTACAATATTTCACTGTGAATAGCTATACATAATACATCATATCATCTGCTTATCTCTGTTTGAAATTAATTGAGTTATTTATTTGATTTTTAATACAAGTAAAATGGGACAGGAAAGACAAACTTCTATATGACTGAAGGTTACATTAGTCTCAAGTAAAATGGAACAGGAAAGACAAACTTCTATATGACTGAAGGTTACATTAGTCTCAAGTAAAATGGGACAGGAAAGACAAACATCTATATGACTGAAGGTTAACATTAGTCTGCCCATACTTCCTAACCTTTACCTAAATTTATAACATTTTAATTTTCTTTCCCATGATAAGTTACATGGTACCTTTTCTTTTCACTGTATATTCGTGGGAGGAGGGTAGGCTGCTTTTGATTATGTGTGGTTGTATATCATTATCCTTTTTTAATTATCTGTTTCACATTTTATTTCTTCCACATTCTTTCTCTGCCATCTGTGTTCTGAATTATTTAGGTTTACCTGTAGCTGGGTTGTGTATTGTTTATTTCATTTTGCTATTGGGCAACTACCATCTCATAGTTTGCTGCAGACAGTAAATGTGTAGTTTGATTAAGGATATTACGAGTTCAACCATTTGAACCAGGCCCTCTGATAATTACAAATGTGTTCACATTTTGTAGCACAACAGACTCCTACCCACATTAGAGTATAACTGAAGAGACAAGGTATCTTCAGTGCTATTTGAATGTTGATATGCAGTTATACACTACTAACTATTTTGTTTTTTTTCAAAAGGTTTTGTCTTTGTACATTTTAAATTTACATTTGAAGATATACATATACAACATTTTTATTATTTGTGCCAACAAATACTTGATTGAGACAGAAAAACAATAACAAAATAAGGTAAAATAACAAAACAATGGTATCGTTTTAAAATGAAAATATCTGTGACCACAGCATTACAAAGCATTGGGGATATTCTGTCTATCAGACATAAACAAAACAGCAGACAGAAAAACAGGAAGCAAGCTACAGATTCAATAAGGAGTTAAGATTTGGGTGCTAAAACCTACAATGTCCCAGATCCCACTACAGCTCACTGTCTACAGTCAGATGTAAACCTTCAATGTCCCAGATCCCACTACAGCTCACTGTCTACAGTCAGATGTAAACCTTCAATGTCCCAGATCCCACTACAGCTCACTGTCTACAGTCAGATGTGGGTAAAATAGAAAGAAATCTGATAACATCAACCATCCTTGATTTCTATCTAAAATTATCATCCATCCTCCACCTTATATATATATATACAACTATAATAAAAACTTATAACTTTTATAAAGACAAGTGGTGATTAGTATATACATAACCTAGCTAGCTATATTAATATAGAAAGTTTTAATGCTACAAAAAGTATTGAAATAAGAAAGTCAAAACTACAAAAACTGAGTTACAGAAAAGAATCACTGGGACCCCAGATGGAAGAGTTCTGTGAAGGAATTAGAATGTTAAAGTTCTTTTTTTTTTCTGTATGCTTGTCTGGAAAAGTCACTAACTTACTTACTTAAATGAAAATTTGTTGAAATAGTGAAATTTTTATTCATTCCATAAACACATATATAGTGATTTAGGTGGGATTATAAATACAATAAGCTTTAATTTTGCTCAGCAAATATTGTGAAATAGTCAATATTCAGACATTTTAAAGCTGGTTTTATATGGCCACCGTTTTATTTCATCATGACCCCAACTATTAAGTACTACCTTACATAATGATAAATACACACACACTCTGTATACTTACGCTGGATACTTACATAATGCAAACAAAGATTATTAATTTACTTGCATACTTTTGCATACACTTCAACACTTCCTGTAAATGTTTCATTAATATATTTATCTCATGCATTTATGGACCATCATAGAATATGTTTTTTTTTATGTCACTTATGAAGTGAACAGAATGAATTGTAAGCTCAATTCCTAGCTACTTCTCACTTATTCACTCTATCAAAAACAAAATAGACATCATTCACAATGTGGACGTATGTCAGATGTTTTCATATGAGACACCAAAGTTATTAGTTTTATTTTCTAATCAAAATAATATTCATTCCAATGGCTAAAATACTGACATATAATGAGTGTTTCATAACTTGTAATTCAATGTATCTTGCCAAGGAACTGCAGTAAGTGAAAAATTTTTTACAATGTATATGTGCTTTTCTAATAACATTTTTAAGGCAAATTTGTTTTATTTCAAAAACACAAAAGATAATCTCATATATATAAAAAACTGTCATTCAAATGCCAAAACAAAGAGTATATATACATGTACATAATCACAATGTTCATAATTAGGCAATAATTTACTCCATTTTCAGCCTCATTGGTAAAAGATAATGAATTACATTTTAGATTATTCGAAGTAGTATAATATATAAAGACTGAATGTACACTGAACCGACCCCATATTTTAGAGGGAATGTTGACTATAATTCTGAATTTACTAAGTGTTTTTATGAAATGTGGTAAGCTTTTAGTAAAATGTCAAAATCTGATATACACAAAAAATGTGTTATGAAAATATTTGTATTCAAGATATGTCTGTGACTTGATGATGTCAGTCTGATTCATTTTACGAAGTTTTATAATTATGTTTTTCCTCCAATTTATGAATGTTCCTCTTCTTCCTTTGAGGATACTTTGTCTTTCAAGAGAATTCCATGTTATTTTTTAAATTATCTTAACCAACACCAACTGGTTATTGAAATCACAGTTGAAGAGCAAGTGAATTCAGAACTCCCCCTTTAAAACATTAAAATTAGAAACAAAGGCAGCTTAAAGAAAAAAAAGGTATGAAAAGTTAAAATAATATATTATCCGTAGGTTTACATGGGAATTATTTTCAAACCACAACTACAAATCCAGATATTTTTTTTAAGAGTTAAGAACAGAATTCTTATTATTATCTGTATGTACGATTCACCATGATGTGAACAAGATTATATAAGTTTAACAAAGGCTTTGAAATATGCATTAAAGAACACAACTACAAAAAAAAAGAAAACAAAATCCTCTGTCCAACAACATGAAGGGTCATATAAAACATGAGTAAACAACCAACACTAAGATAATGGAATATAGTTTGAATATGGAAATATTTCAGTTCAATTATGTACATGTTGTAGTTACTAGCAGAAAATGTATATATAACAGTGTTTGATTAAAGGTAATAACGGTATATATATTAATACTAGCAATGCATTCACCTTAAACATTCTAAACTATCCAAAACATTCAAATAGTAAGATAGCTTCACATTACTTAAAATACATAAATTGCTGAAATTAATACTGAAGTATTCTCAATGAGAACCTAATAAAGATTTAAATAATATTCTGGTTGAGATTTGCCACTACTCTTTAGGAAAAAACGAATAATTAATCAAAATTTGGTATCTATATTTAAAGGCCCATTCTGCTTCATTCTTCAATATTTTGTTCTGTCAGGTTAACCTTAACCTAAATAATTAATTTAATCATCCATTTTTTTTTTTTACTAACCATAACAACAAACTTAAGGCTTATTTCAAATTTTCTCCCTCAATCTTTTTCACCTGCTGAATCCACTATGTACAGACAGTCACAAAAGTTAATACTGCTGGTTGGATAAGTATATATCTAAGAATTTTGAAAAGAAAAAAAAACTATACTGATAGGTACAGCTTCATAGTAAAAGTTCCAGGTACTAAAAGTCTGATTT